GCACATGTAAACATTGTAACGACACACTGTGATGTAAACATTGGGTTTACATTGTAAACTGCCCGAAACGCTTTGCGTAATAGTGGCTTTAGGCATTGTATGTACTAGCTCTATCTATAAATCCATCAATGTTTGTATCTCACCTTGTACGTATGTATTTTACTTTAATAAACATTTGATTTGTAAATATCACCCTCACTCATTGCTCATTTACATCACAGATTTATTTTTACAATATACATATTACCGATGTACATCACTTTGTGGAGCGTCAGTATTGCAGTGTATTAAGTGTGAGGACAGAACATACGTTCAATTTAAAGCGGTTTTATGTTGTCCAAAGCGTCAGAAAACACACGTACGCAAGTCCGTTCTCTCCCTTTGCCATTCCGTACAAAATCCAACTGTTTTGCCGTACCAGAAACGCCCAAAAAAAGGCAGCCATTTTGCCTAACCAAAAATGTTCAACCCGAAACAGCTCACCGTAAGTACCTGTGGAAACGTCAATATTGCGGCGGTTCAGTGTGCAGTTGGTACGTTGCATTTGAGACGGATTGGTCGATTATGTTCACAATGCAAGAGATTGTGAAACGTAATGAGGAGGAAGGTGTGTGCAGTGTTGCACCGGCCAGCACGGGAGAGTGACGTGTTGCAGCAGCCTCACGTGGGCGTTCATGTCTTATACGGGCGGCGACCCGGCGGTGTCCGGGTAACACCACTCTAATGTAACACCACTATAAAATGTACCACCCCTATAATGGAACACCCCTATAATGGAACACCACTATAATGGAACACCACTATAATGGAACACCACTATAATGGAACACCACTATAATGGAACACCACTATAATGGAACACCACTATAATGGAACACCACTATAATGGAACACCACTATAATGGAACACCACTCTAAATGTAACACTCTAATGTAACACCACTATAATGGAACACCACTATAAAATGTACCACCCCTATAATGGAACACCACTATAATGGAACACCACTCTAATGTAACACCACTATAAAATGTACCACCCCTATAATGGAACACCCCTATAATGGAACACCACTCTAATGTAACACCACTATAAAATGTACCACCCCTATAATGGAACACCCCTATAATGGAACACCACTATAATGGAACACCACTATAATGGAACACCACTATAATGGAACACCACTATAATGGAACACCACTATAATGGAACACCACTATAATGGAACACCACTCTAAATGTAACACTCTAATGTAACACCACTATAATGGAACACCACTATAAAATGTACCACCCCTATAATGGAACACCACTATAATGGAACACCACTATAATGGAACACCACTATAATGGAACACCACTATAATGGAACACCACTATAATGGAACACCACTATAAAATGTACCACCCCTATAATGGAACACCACTATAATGGAACACCACTATAAAATGTACCACCCCTATAATGGAACACCACTATAATGGAACACCACTATAATGGAACACCACTATAATGGAACACCACTATAATGGAACACCACTATAATGGAACACCACTATAATGGAACACCACTATAAAATGTACCACCCCTATAATGGAACACCACTATAATGGAACACCACTATAATGGAACACCACTATAATGGAACACCACTATAATGGAACACCACTATAAAATGTACCACCCCTATAATGGAACACCACTATAATGGAACACCACTATAACGGAACACCACTATAATGGAACACCACTATAATGGAACACCACTATAATGGAACACCACTATAATGGAACACCACTATAAAATGTACCACCCCTATAATGGAACACCACTATAATGGAACACCACTATAATGGAACACCACTATAATGGAACACCCCTATAATGGAACACCACTATAATGGAACACCACTATAATGGAACACCACTATAATGGAACACCACTATAATGGAACACCACTCTAAATGTAACACTCTAATGTAACACCACTATAATGGAACACCACTATAATGGAACACCACTATAAAATGTACCACCCCTATAATGGAACACCACTATAATAGAACACCACTATAATGGAACACCACTATAATGGAACACCACTATAAAATGTACCACCCTTATAATGGAACACCACTATAATGGAACACCACTATAATGGAACACCACTATAATGGAACACCACTATAATGGAACACCACTATAAAATGGACCACCCCTATAATGGAACACCACTATAATGGAACACCACTATAATGGAACACCACTATAATGGAACACCACTATAAAATGTACCACCCCTATAATGGAACACCACTATAATGGAACACCACTATAATGGAACACCCCTATAATGGAACACCACTATAATGGAACACCACTATAATGGAACACCACTATAATGGAACACCACTATAATGGAACACCACTATAATGGAACACCCCTATAATGGAACACCACTATAATGGAACACCACTATAATGGAACACCACTATAATGGAACACCACTATAATGGAACACCACTCTAAATGTAACACTCTAATGTAACACCACTATAATGGAACACCACTATAATGGAACACCACTATAATGGAACACCACTATAATGGAACACCACTCTAAATGTAACACTCTAATGTAACACCACTATAAAATGTACCACCCCTATAATGGAACACCACTATAATGGAACACCACTCTAAATGTAACACTCTAATGGAACACCACTATAATGGATACTAAACTAATAATGTAAACACTTCTTTTCCTGAGTAACACTTCCCCATTGGTTGTACTTGGTAACACTGTTATGAGCTGACATATGATGGTTACACCGGAACTAAAAGGTACACTGCCAACAAGGAAATGCTACACAGGATTCAATACGCTGCCACCATCTGCCTTTGACCATTGAGACTATATCAAGCAACGAGGCAAGAAACATTGCTTGACTTGGAGAGTACTTTCTATGACTGTCATTAATTATGAAAACGGTTGTCAGCCACTATATCCAAAAGGGAGCTGTAACACCCATGACCCCCCCCCCCTTAGAGTTCACACCCAGGGAAGCCTTCTCCAAGAGGTCAGCCCAGATGACCTCCGGAGTATCTTGTATGTTGATTAAAAAAGTCCTGGGTTAGTCTTAGTCAGCATAGTTTCAAGTATGTAATATTTCATGCAAAGGAATTAGACTCCTGATTCTTATGTGTAAACATCCCTGGATCTCCCCCTTTTGGCCAGGTCAGAGGTCAGTCACACACGTAATTAATAACTCCTCTCTTGAAGAGTGTATGGTGAATGTCAAACAAGCTTATTGAAATATTTCTTGAGTGTTTGTACACGTGTGGCCGATCTCTTACATTCTTGGTGTAGGTAGCAACAGCAGATCTCCCCCCTCCCCCCTGTGGGGGTTGTATATAGAGGTCCTGTAGGGACTTAGAAAAGAGAGTGCCGGACACCGGGGTCCAGAGAGGGCTGTGAAGAACATCTCAGCCAGGGAGAGACAGGTCTTAAGGTAACGTGTGTGATCTCTGAGGTTTTGTTCCATGTCCAAATTTCTTAAATTTTTGCCAGTGTTAGAGTAGTATTTATAAGTGGTGATTGACATAATTTTGGTCTCAATAAACTCATGTTAAATTTCCCATCTGTGTCAATTGTTGAATCCTCTTAGCCTTTTGGATATAGTGGCTGACAACCGTTTTCATAATTAATGACAGTCATAGAAAGTACTCTCCAAGTCAAGCAATGTTTCTTGCCTCGTTGCTTGATATAGTCTCAATGGTCAAAGGCAGATGGTGGCAGCGTATTGAATCCTGTGTAGCATTTCCTTGTTGGCAGTGTACCTTTTAGTTCCGGTGTAACCATCATATGTCAGCTCATAACAGTGTTACCAAGTACAACCAATGGGGAAGTGTTACTCAGGAAAAGTAGTGTTTACATTATTAGTTTAGTATCCATTATAGTGGTGTTCCATTAGAGTGTTACATTTAGAGTGGTGTTCCATTATAGTGGTGTTCCATTAGAGTGTTACATTTAGAGTGGTGTTCCATTATAGTGGTGTTCCATTATAGGGGTGGTACATTTTATAGTGGTGTCACATTAGAGTGTTACATTTAGAGTGGTGTTCCATTATAGTGGTGTTCCATTATAGTGGTGTTCCATTATAGGGGTGGTACATTTTATAGTGGTGTTACATTAGAGTGGTGTTACATCCGGGTCTCTATCCCCCCCCCCTCTCCGCCCCCCGCCCGTCCCCATGCCGCCTTGTTTCTATATTTACCTCTCTCTCTCTTCTCTCTTTCTTTATGTCCCATTCCACCCATTCATTCTCCCCCCCCCCCACTCTCACACCTCTTCTCTCTCCCCCTCTTCTTCCCACTCCCCTCGCTCTCCACCCTCTCCCTGCTTCCTTCTCTTCTTATCTCTGTCTCTTGTTGTCTCTCAGTCTCCACAGGTATCTATATATCTGTTTCTGTCTGTCTCTTTTTCACTCTTTGTTCATCTCTGTCTCAGTCTTTTTGCTCTCTCTCTCTCCCTTATACAAACACTACAATACTCTTCCATTGGCAAGTGGGTGGACCGCCAGGGGGAGGAGCCTAGCGGTAAGAAATAGTAAAAAAATCTATAATAGTTACCAGTTTGCTTTGTGAAAGATGATGGGGGTTTGTCGAAGCCTTTATATCAAGGCTGGGTGAACCTTTTACCCGTCAAGGGCCATTTGGATACTAATAACAACATTCCTGGGTCATATACAATTATCAACTTAAGAACTTTGCCTCCTATATGTGGTCCAACATTTAGTTAAGTCACCCCCTGGAAGTATCGACTGGAACGGTTTCACTATTGTGAGGCTTGTGGTCTCAGCTGGTAATGATGACGGAGCTGTTTTGGTAATTGTTCAGTGTGTGTTAACAGTTTGGCAACGTGTCCCCTCGCTGGCTGCCTGTCACTGACTGTCTCCTGAGTCCCAGCTTACTCTATCACCCCTACAGTGAACACATTAAGCTTACGCGACCCTCCAGCCCTCAACCCGTTCTCGCAAATTTAATAAGTCATTATTGACTTATTAAATATGTGCATAGGTGACATACTTAACATAATAGTTTCCCTTGAAAAGCTTCATAGAAAACACCGACCTTACCTAACCTTAGTATGTTAAGATAAGCATCTTATTGCTTTGTAATTACAATTATTACCTAACCTATAATAGGTATAGGTTAAGTAATAATTGTAATTACGAAGCAATAAGATGCTTATCTTAAGATACTAACAAGGTTAGGTAAGGTCGGTGTTTTCTATGAATCTTTTTAAGGGTATCTATTATGTTTAGTATATCACCTATGCACGTAGTTAATAAGTCAATATTGACTTTACGAATTTGCGAGAACGGGTTGCAACCCTATAGTGTACAGTCCCAGCACCGCCCTATAGTGTACAGTCCCAGCACCGCCCTATAGTGTACAGTCCCAGCACCGCCCTATAGTGTACAGTCCCAGCACAGCCCTATAGTGTACAGTCCCAGCACCGCCCTATAGTGTACAGTCCCAGCACAGCCCTATAGTGTACAGTCCCAGCACCGCCCTATAGTGTACAGTCCCAGCACCGCCCTATAGTGTACAGTCCCAGCACCGCCCTATAGTGTACAGTCCCAGCACAGCCCTATAGTGTACAGTCCCAGCACAGCCCTATAGTGTACAGTCCCAGCACCGCCCTATAGTGTACAGTCCCAGCACAGCCCTATAGTGTACAGTCCCAGCACCGCCCTATAGTGTACAGTCCCAGCACCGCCCTATAGTGTACAGTCCCAGCACCGCCACAGCTCAACCAGGACTTTCACGTCGCATTTTTCACGGAGTGCAACAACCCGTAACAATTGTGTCGTATTTGTACACGTAAAAATAACGTACTATTGACGTTTTCTATACATTGGCCTTAATAGGTTAGGCGGGTTGCTTGGGTTCATACGTTTCTGATTAAACAAAACAGTTGAATTGTTTGCGAAGTAGCAAATAGAGCGGGGCTCGACAATTTGTTTATATATATATATATATATATATATATATATATATATATATATATATATATATATATTTATTTATTTATTTATATATATACAAGAAGGTACATTGGGTTTGTGAGGGTACATAGCATGATGTGTTTACATTCTTGTAAAGCCACTAGTACGCACAGCATTTCGGGCAAGTCCTTAATCTAACAGATAATATAAAGTAGTTAAATTCTAGCAAAATTTATAAAATGTTAAGAGGTACATTGTAAGAAAAAAATTGAGAGAGATTAGTAGGCATATTAAAGCACACTGATAGCCTTGATTGATAATTTAACAAAGATTATAGACACAATAAGGCATATTGATAGCACATACAAAATGACAGCAATGATCACAATGGTAAAGTTGTATGGCTTAAGTGCATAAATATTGGGGGATTGAGTAGCACTAGATACAGAGCGAGTTTAGGTAGGAAACTATGAAGATGAAATTAGGTACTTTTTATTTTTGAATAAGGCAAAAGTTGGACAGCTTTTCAATTCATTAGGGAGTGAGTTTCATAGACTGGGTCCCTTTATTTGCATAAAGTGTTTACACTTTTTAAGTTTGACTCTGGAGATATCAAAGAGATATTTATGCCTGGTGTGGTGAGTATGTATTCTATTACATCTGTCCAGGGAGAGTTTCAGAGCAGGATTTGCATTTAAGAACTCGGATTTGTAAATGTTGATGGCACAAGAGAATGTGTGGAGTGAGTTTAGTTTTAGCATGTTTAGGGATTTAAACAGGGGAACTGTGTGTTGTCTGAAAGCAGAATTTGTTATGGTTCTGATAGCAGATTTTTGCTGGGTGATGATGGACTTGAGGTAGTTTGCAGTGGTTGAACCCCATGCACAGATGCCATAAGTAAGATAGGGATAGATTAGGGCATAATATAGTGAGAGGAGAGCAGAGTTAGGTACATAATATCTGATTTTAGAGAGTATACCAACTGTTTTAGAGACTTTCTTAGTTATGTGTTGTATGTGGGTACTGAAGTTGAGTCTCTAGTCTAGGAATAGGCCGAGAAACTTTCCATCATTTTTATTACTAATGTTAAAATTGTCTATCTGAAGCTGAATTAATTGCATTTGTTGATTTGCTTCCAAATATGATGTAGTAGGTGTTTTCTATATTTAGTGTGAGTTTTTTGGTTGACATCCATAAGTGGACTTTTTTAATTCATTATTCACAACATTATTTAATGTGTGGGGTTAGGGGTCTGAGTAGATGAGGGTAGTATCAGCAAACAATATAAGTTTCAGAATGTTAGAGACATTAGGCAGATCATTGATGTATATAAGAAATAGGAGATGTCCTAGGATGCTGCCCTGTGGCACTCCTATGGTTAATGGTAGAGTGGGAGAGGTTATATCATTGATGGCTACACATTGGTGTCTATCACTAAGATAGGATTGGATATAGTTCAGAAATATGAACAATATTTATAGACGCTTCCTTCCCTATTTAGCTTTAATAAATAAATATAATTTGTGCTCGGGCCCCTACTGGGAGCTATGCGCATGCGCGACTTTCGGGAAGGCAGGAGAGACTCGCCATTTTCGATCACCTAGCAGTACTGTGTTCCGAAGCGGTCCCAACAAATCTCATAATCTATAAGGCATCCGTACACACTCAGACGTTAAATTCAGGACGCAGCTTACCAGAATCACGGACACCAGTTCGGCAGGCATTTTTACCTTGTTCAGTTGTAGTTTGAGCTCAAATGATAACTAATATAGGTGCCATGTCGTGACGTTGCAGGCGATAAAATAAACCCCATGTAAGTGCAGTTTCTTCCCTCCAAATATTTAGATCTTACATTTATGTGTGTGAATACTAGTTTGGAGTGGAAATTATGGAATTTCATTATTGCAGCATGGTGCAACACCCCTGAGGAAGCATGTGACCGCCACACACTCACGTGTTCCAAGTATCGCTATCTCAACCTGTGTCCAGACTGTAGTAGAGTGGACTACATCTACGTCCCTCTGTCACAGCTGAGATTTAATCAGTTTTCATTGTAGATAGTACTTTTATTATTTAGAGTCCATATATACTTTATTGTATTGATTAATTATTAATCTTTATTGTGCAGTAGTATTTCTTGCATTACATTTTATTTATCATTATCTATGTGTGTGCATATTATCAATATTAATATTACATAATATGTGTTACACATAGACTAACCTTATAGAAGACCCCCCCAAAATGTGTCATGGGAGGCTGGCTCTAGAATGATATAGAATTTACAGTCATTGCTTAATAGAATTTATTCACATATAATCATAGATCCATAAGCCACTGGTTCTCTCATTTAATAATGCATTCTGGTCCTTCGAGCTATCTTAGAATTAATCATGATCTTGCATTAATAAAATTATACATTTTATTAGTATTAAACTAGAGCCAGATTTCCCCACATTTATGGTTAACAGTATCAAAGGCCTTTCTCAGGTCAATGAAGAGTCCAATCGAAAACTCATTTTTGTCAAGGGCTGAGTAAATTATATCAAGGAGACTAATAATTGCATCGTTGGTACTCTTTTGGGAGCGGAAGGCAAAGTGACAGGGGCTGAGTATGTCAAATTTTGCGAGATCAGAGTAGAGCTCTTTGTAGATATTTTTTTCAAATATGTTTGATAGTATGGGTAGGTTTGATACTGGTCTATAATTGTTTATGTCTGCCAGATTGCCTCCTTTATGAACTGGCGTTACTCTTGCTTTTTTTGAGGATATCAGGGAAGGTATGATACTCAAGGGATTTGTTGAACAGCAGAGCTGTTCACTGATGTTCCCAGCTTTGGTTTTTAGTGAGTGTATGATGGACACAACATCTGTCGGGCTGACTGGTGAAAGAAGAAGAGAGTTTGGATAGCTGCCTGAGAGATGTGTTGATATGTGTCTGAGTCTGTGAAATTTTTCTGGCAAGATTAGCACCAACCCATGAAAAGAAGCTATTAAATTCATTTGCTATTTCTAAATCAGTTGACGGCGTATAGCCATCCCCATCCTTAAAAGCACAACACTGATGAGTACCTTTTAACTACTGCCTTTTTAACTAGGTCAATCCTAAGTTTCTTTTCATATTCGTGTTTACAGCTCACAAGACTGACCTTTGAGCTTGGCGATCTGCACCACAGCGCTGCCCACAGCCCCGGCCGCACCGTTGACTAGTACCGTCTCCCCAGCCTGCGGCTTACACAGCTCCAGCAGCCCGAAGTAGGCGGTGTTGCTGTGGGGAGGAGGAGGGTGTTAGTGTGGCAGGTGGGTACCCAGTGGGGCACTGGTTGGTGGGTACCCAGTGGGGCACTGGTAGGTGGGTACCCAGTGGGGCACTGGCAGGTGGGTACCCAGTGGGGCACTGGCAGGTGGGTACCCAGTGGGGCACTGGCAGGTGGGTACCCAGTGTGGCACTGGCAGGTGGGTACCCAGTGTGGCACTGGCAGGTGGGTACCCAGTGGAGCACTGGCAGGTGGGTACCCAGTGTGGCACTGGCAGGTGGGTGCCCAGTGGGGCACTGGCAGGTGGGTACCCAGTGGGGCACTGGCAGGTGGGTACCCAGTGTGGCACTGGCAGGTGGGTACCCAGTGGAGCACTGGCAGGTGGGTACCCAGTGTGGCACTGGCAGGTGGGTACCCAGTGTGGCACTGGCAGGTGGGTACCCAGTGTGGCACTGGCAGGTGGGTACCCAGTGGAGCACTGGCAGGTGGGTACCCAGTGTGGCACTGGCAAGTGGGTACCCAGTGGGGCACTGGTTGGTGGGTACCCAGTGGGGCACTGGTAGGTGGGTACCCAGTGTGGCACTGGCAGGTGGGTACCCAGTGGAGCACTGGCAGGTGGGTACCCAGTGTGGCACTGGCAGGTGGGTACCCAGTGGAGCACTGGCAGGTGGGTACCCAGTGTGGCACTGGCAGGTGGGTACCCAGTGTGGCATTTTTTACTGGGTACAAAACACAGTAACCTATCCTAACATAGCCGATCCTGGCAATAGGATAGGCTATGAGGACAGGAACTGGGTTAGAGTCTCAAGAGTACAGTTGCCTTCGTTCTTGGCTCACAATCCTGGATCCCAAGTTCGATTCCCGGGCGGGACAGAAATGGTGGCCACGTTTCCTCCCACCTAATGCCTCTGTCCACCTAGCAGTCAACAGGTACCCAGGAGCTAATCAGCTTGTTGTGGGGCTGCATCCTGGAGATGTTTGGTAGTTTTCTTCCTTGTGGGGGCCTCGATACAACCCTATATAAAAATATATATATATATATATATATATATATATATATATATATATATATATGTCGTACCTAATAGCCAGAACGCACTTCTATGCCTACTACTCAAGGCCCGATTTGCCTAATAAGCCAAGTTTTCATGAATTAATTGTTTTTCGACTACCTAACCTACCTAACCTAACCTAACCTAACTTTTTCGGCTACCTAACCTAACCTAACCTATAAAGATAGGTTAGGTTAGGTTAGGTAGGGTTGGTTAGGTTCGGTCATATATCTACGTTATTTTTAACTCCAATAAAAAAAATTGACCTCATACATAATGAAATGGGTAGCTTTATCATTTCATAAGAAAAAAATTAGAGAAAATATATTAATTCATGAAAACTTGGCTTATTAGGCAAATCGGGCCTTGAATAGCAGGCATAGAAGTGCGTTCTGGCTATTAGGTACGACATATATATATATATTTTTTTTTTTTTTTTTTTTTTTTTTTTGAGATATATACAAGAGTTGTTACATTCTTGTACAGCCACTAGTACGCGTAGCGTTTCGGGCAAGTCCTTAATCCTATGGTCCCTGGAATACGATCCCCTGCCGCGAAGAATCGTTTTTTCATCCAAGTACACATTTTACTGTTGCGTTAAACAGAGGCTACAGTTAAGGAATTGCGCCCAGTAAATCCTCCCCGGCCAGGATACGAACCCATGACATAGCGCTCGCGGAACGCCAGGCGAGTGTCTTACCACTACACCACGGAGACTTTATATATATATACACACACACAAACACAAAGGCTTCTTGTCCCCGACAAAACGATTTATTATATGAAGTTAATGAGCTGGGATATGAGGACAATGATCTGGGATATAACGACCAGCAGCTGGGATATGAGGACGAATGAAGAAACAATGGTGCCTAATAACCACTTGGACCACCGGGAATCGAACGCCGACCTGCCTGAAAACGAAGCCGTCGCTCAATACCGACGATCCCAAACAGAGATGTAAATCTCTCTGTCCAACGTAACGACCTAAAGAACAGCCGTGAGTAAACAGTATATTTTGTGAAGTAATATTTAGTGAATCTCGTACACATAGAGCGAGAGGTTTCCATCAAAGGTGTGAAATAACAGTTTATGTTGAGAATTTCAACCCGTCCTCGACTCTAGTCCATTACATTCAGCGGTCGACCCCACAGACGCATTCATAAATTTTTACATGCTCTTCATTCAAAACGGGAATTTTCTCAAATATAAATTAATATTATAATATATTAGCATATTGTGCATATATAGGTTAGGTTAGGTTGGATGTTTAGGTTCGGTTGGCGATTATTTGTATTTGTAGTACGTAGGTGAAGCATTTACAGCGTTGTGGTTCGAACATAATTCCTCAGTGAAGCACTTGTTCCGGAAGTGTTCGGACGTCAGCAGTTGAGTAGTGTGTAAACTGTTTTTCATTCATAAACAACAAGGGGGTTTGGTGGGTGGATGGAATCACTTTTGGGTCTTTCTTTGGAGGACGGGATGGAGAATTACGTGTGCAGAACACCTCGTTTGACATCATGCTCTGCAGTTTACCGAACCTTATTAAGGTGATTTAAGACGAATTTTATTCACATTAGTGTAACTATTGTTTGGTTTCTTAAGGGTGTTGGTCAGAGAATATAAAACATTAATATAACTCTACAGTTACCCATCAAAGGAAGCTTGCTAATGCGTTTTCTAAGCAACGGCCAACTTTTCAAAACAGTGTGTTCGGATGGCTATCTTCGACAAAGAACTTTTTAAACGTGCATATTTTTTCCGGAATACAAAGCTACACTGTGAATACAGCAAGTGCAGTTTATTAGAAAGAGATGGGGCATGATACATACCCAGGCATGCCCACGAGATGGAGCACGATACATACCCAGGCATGCCCACGACGCCGAGGCCAAGGCTCTTGGGGAGGAGTTGGAGGTCAGGCAAGGGAGAGATGAAAGACAGTTTGTCCTCGAGCTGCTCAGCGGTGAAGACTGTGTGTGTCCGCCAGCCGGCCATGGACACCATGTAGCTGTCCACGGGCCACTGGTGGTTCCTGCTGTCTGTCACCCTGCAGGCGGAACGACACTCAGAGAGATGAAGTTAGTGAGAGACCTGCAGGGGCCAGATTCACGAAGCACTTCCGCAAGTAATTACGAACATGTACATCTTTCCTCAATCTTTGATGCCTTTGGTTACGTCTATTAAATAGTTTACAAGCATGAAAACTTGCCAATCATCTGTTGTTATTGTTATAAACAGCGTCCTGGTGCTTCGGAGCTCATTAACTGTTTAATAATTGTAAACAAAGCCGCTAAAGATTGAGAAAATATGTACACGTTCGTAAGTGCTTGCGTAACTGCTTTGTGAATCTGGGCTCCTGGCTGTACTCCATTGCATATTGCACAGTGCAGTCACTTGCTACTTAATAAATAGGTCTACTACCACCCCCCCCCCCCCCACGGGCCTCCAAGAACCTACCTGGCCACCTGGCCTCTCAGGACCTACCTGGCCACCTGACCTCCGACCATGGTGGTGTTGAGAGGTATCTGGCGGGCCCTGTACCTCATGTAGGGGTCCACACTCAGGTACACCGCCTCCACTACCACACCTGCAGGTACCACACGCTACCATTAGTTACCAGCAGTTATTGTCAGAAAAACCAACACCATTTACTAACTCTCAATACAATATTCAGTTAACACTGCTGCTATTTGTACTACCAAATTAACGCTATAGTAGCTTTAATCATTCATAGAAAACGAGGCTCCAGTGAAAATTTCCTCCGGAGAAAATGGGGAATCATTGCCATGTAGCCACTAAATTCACCAGCTAATAATATTGTGAATTCCTCTTAAAACACGAGCCTAGTATTAGAATCAATAAAAAAAGTATTCTCTATGACTGGATCTAAAATAATTGTTAAGAAACTAAATTCTACCTCCCATTGTCAACAAAAGAGCAGTATTAAAACCGGTGAGAGAGCAACCCGTCCTCTTAAAAATAACGTCACTTTTGGCTGGTATGCGCACTATGGCCAAATTTGGACGTAATTTGAAATGAAATCGACTCACAAAAGTGACGTACTGTTCCGTTTTCTGTTTGAGTCGTCCGGCTTACTCGGCCAGCTTAGAAGAACACCAATGTTGTTGGGTAGGGTGGGAGAAATGGAATTATTCACAGAAACATACTGGTGCCTGTCAGTAAGGTAAGATTTGAGGTATTGCAGGGAGTGACCTATGACTCCATAATGATGTAATTTAAGAAGAAGGTTTTGGTGTCAAAAGCCTTACGCAGGTCCACAAATAACCCAACAGGGAACTCATTTTTATCAAGAGCTGCATGAATCAAGTTAATCATACTAATAAGTGCATCGTTAGTGTTTCTTTTGCGTCTGAAGCCATATTGACAAGACCTAAGTATATTGTGTTTGGCTAGATAAGAGTAAAGCTGCTTGTAGATTAGTTTTTAAAATATTTTTGGCAAGTTAGGCAGGATTGATATGGGTCTGTAGTTGTTAACATCAGTGAGATCACCAGATGTTAACAACTACAGACCTATATTAATCCTGCCTAACTTGTCAAAAATATTTGAAAAACTAATCTACAAGCAGCTTTACTCTTATCTAGCCAAACACTTCAGGCCTTCAGACCCAAAAAAAAGCACTAACGATGCACTTATTAGTATGATTAACTTGATACATGCAGCTCTTGATAAAAATGAGTTCCCTGTTGGGTTATTTGTGGACCTGCGTAAGGCTTTTGACACTGTCAACCACCAAAACCTCCTTCTTAAATTACATCATTATGGAGTCAGAGGACACTCCCTACAATACCTCAAATCTTACCTTACTGACAGGCTCCAGTATGTTTCTGTGAATAATTTAATTTCTCCCACCCTACCCATCAACATTGGTGTTCCTCAGGCCAGCATACTTGGCCCTCTCCTCTTTCTCATCTACATTAATGACCTTCCAAATGCCTCCCAACACCTCAAACCAATTCTATTTGCTGACGACACGACCTTCATTTAATCCAGTCCTGACCCTCTTGCTCTAAATGCCACAGTAAATACTGAGCTAAATAAAGTCCACCTTTGGCTAACTGCCAACAAACTCACCCTTAACATTGACAAAACTTTCTACATTCTGTTTGGCAATAAATCCTCTAATCAAATAAATCTTAAAATAAACAATACCCAAATTTGTAATAAATTAGATGGCAAATTCCTTGGCGTTCTCATTGACCACAAGCTGAATTTCCAGGGACACATTCTAAATATATCAAAAAAAGTTTCAAAAACTGCTGACATTCGTTCTAGATCAGATATTATGTACCCCGCCCTGCCCTTGTGACTATTACTCCCTCATCTATCCATACCTCAACTATGGTATTTGTGCTTGGGGCTCTACTACCCAAAATCATTTACGTCCTCTAATTACTCAACACAAAGCTGCTATTAGGACAATATCCCACTCTGGCCCCAGACATCACTCGGTACCCCTACTCAAATCTCTGAATATGTTAGATATTAAGTCACTGCACATGCTCTCATGTGTATTATACATAAATAAAACGCTGAACTGTAATGCCAATCCTGACCTCAAAAGCTTCATTGAAGGTTGTAACAGAACCCATGAGCACCTCACCAGAAATAAATACAGTTTTGATATTCCAGGAGTACGACTTAATCAAACTAGAAATGCTCTACGAATCAAGGGACCCAGAATGTGGAATGACCTTCCCAACCATGTTAAAGTCTGTACCTCTCTCAACCAGTTTAGGATAAAAAAGAAGCACTACCTAATAAATTCCCTGTAACCTACCTTACCCCTCTATTGTCAACCCATGTCTGTTTTTTTTTTTAAATGACGCTGTTTGTCGACCGAATTGTATTTGTGCTGCTTTTTCTGCTATGTTCCCCCCTTTTTTATCTCTATTTTCAAAGACTTTAGTTTACTCACACACAACTATAACCTGCAAAGACTAAACAGAGTTCTACTATGCTATCATTTAAACAACTTTCATCTTATATACCCGCATTTGGGTGAGGTGATATGTTACAACAGTTTTGGATGAGGTGAACAAAACTTTCAACACAAGATAGAACAGGAAACAATGGGTATAAATTGGGTAAATTAAAGGGAAGAATAGCAGTAACTGCAAAGGGCCTATTGGCCCATATTTCTTGATGCTTCTATATTGGTGCGGATTCTTGAAGTGGGTAGAATATAGTTGTGCATTAATTGGCTGTTGATTGCTGGTGTTGACTTTTAGATGTGTAGTGCCTCGCAGATGTCAAGCCGCCTGCTATTGCTGTATCTATCGATGATTTCTGTGTTGTTTGTTAAGACTTCTCTGGTGATGGTCTGGTTGTGGGAAGAGATTATATGTTCCTTAATATATATAAAGAGATTATATGTGCCCTGTTGCTTATGCATCGTTAATCGCCTGGAAAGAGATGTTGTCTTGCCTATATACTGAGTTCTTTGAGGCTTACAGTCCCCAAGTGGACATTTGAAGTCATAGACGACGTTGGTCTCTTTTAAAGCGTTCTGCTTTGTGTCTGGAGAGTTTCTAATGAGTAGGTTGGCCGTTTTTTGGTTTTATAGTAAATCGTCAATTGTATCTTCTGATTTTTGTCTCTTCCGTTTCTATTAACAATATCTTTCAGGACCCTTTCCTCCGTTTTATGAGCTGTGGAAAAGAAGTTCCTGTAAAATAGTCTAATAGGGAATACAGGTGTTGTGTTAGTTGTCTCTTCAGAGGTTGCATGGCGTTTCACCTTCCTTCTTATGATGTCTTCAACGAAACCATTGGAGAAGCCGTTGTTGACTAGGACCTGCCTTACCCTACAGAGTTCTTCATCGACTTGCTTCTATCCTGAGCTGTGGCTGAGAGCACGGTCGACATAAGCGTTAACAACACTCCTCTTGTACCTGTCTGGGCAGTCACTGTTGGCATTTAGGCACATTTCCATGTTTGTTTCCTTAGTGTAGACTGCAGTGTGGAAACCTCCGCTCCTTTCCATGACTGTTACATCTAGAAAGGGCAGCTTCCCATCCTTCTCCATCTCGTAAGTGAAACGCAACACAGAATTTCGCTCAAATGCCTCCTTCAGCTCCTGCAGATATCTGACATCAGGTACCTGTGTAAAAAATGTCGTCAACATACCTGCAGTATATTGCCGGTTTCAAGTTCATGTCGACTAAGACCCTCTGTTCGATGGTACCCATGTAGAAGTTCGCAAACAGGACACCTAGGGAAGAACCCATGGCGACCCCATCTACTTGCTTATACATGTGTCCATCCGGGCTCAAGAAGGGTGCCTCTTTAGTACAAGCTTGGAGTAGTTTCCTTAGAATGTTTTCTGGTATGTCAAGAGTACAGGCCGGATCACGATACACTCTGTCCACTATCATCCTGATTGTTTCATCCACAGGTACGTTGGTAAACAGTGATTCTACGTCCAACGAGGCTTTTATCCCTGCGGCCCGTGTGCCCCGCAGTAAGTCAACAAATTATACGTTAGAACAACCACACACAACAACCACACACTCCACCATACACTCCACCACACACTCCAGTACACACTCCACCACACACAACAACAACACACACTCCACAACACACACTCCACCACACAACAACCACACACTTCACCACACACAACAACAACAACACACTCCACCTCACCACCAGGAGGACAAGGGGGTAGTTCCTCCTCCTGCAGTTTGAAGTCCTGCAGTACAGGCTCTCCCTGCGGCCTCCTGTCCAGCACCCACACCTTCGCTGTCACCATCTTCTGATCAGTCAGCCTCTGCTTGCTCGGACAATCACCGGGTCACTGGCTGAGAATGCCAGAAACACCAGCTAATCACACTGAAATATTAAATGCATGAAATGTGGCTATAAACAGGGTCAATATATCTATATAAATTAAAATGTAAATGTTAGTTTGTTCAAAATCGCTAATGTCCGAAAGTCCTTCACTGATTGCTTTGAAATTTTGATACAACATACCATTCAAATATGTGCGTGTTTTTATATACCTACTATATAGATGCCACACCTGTGATAGATAAAAGCATGTTTTTTTGGGAAAAACAGTGCCATCTGTTGCATGTAAAAGCAACACACGCTATAGTAAATATGTTACGATTCCATTTCAATGTTTTCGATTGCTTTGGTAAATGGAATTTTCATATATTTCGTTTTATTTTTATTTTTATTGAATTATTTTGTGTAACATTGCATTGGAATTGAGCTGTGTTTTGTATACCATACCGTTCATTTCATGAGTATAGTTTATTATTTTGTTTTTTCATTGTTTTTCATTTCGTTTTTTAAACTGCTTTTATTTTTCAGTGATGGGAACATCAGATCATTTGATGTTCTCATTTTTCTGGTGGGAACATTAGATCATTTGGGAAGGCATCGGACGATGGAGTGGGGAATGGTGGGGAGGACGAGGGGACGGGAGTGGGGGATGGTGGGGAGGACGAGGGGACGGGGGAAGGGGTGATGGTGATCATAATGAGGGAAAGGGGAAGTAGGGAATGGTTGGGATGATGATGTCATTGACTGCTTCATGTCTGGTAATCTTTCCCTGTGTCTTACGACAGATGAGACCATGGCTGCCGTATTGGTCTGCCCGTGCATGGCCGCAAACACACCACCGGTGTTCGGTGGAGATAGGGGCGGCAAGGCACAGGGAAACACCAGGTCAACTAAGACCTTCTGTTCGATGGTACCCATGTGGAAGTTCGCAAACAGGACACCTAGGGGAGAACCCATGGCGACCCCATCTACTTGCTTATACATGTGCCCATGAGGGCTCAAGAAGGGTGCCTCTTTAGTACAAGCTTGGAGTAGTTTCCTTTCTAGATGTAACAGTCATGGAGAGGAGCGGAGGTTTCCACACTGCAGTCTACACTAAGGAAACAAACATAGGAATGTGCCTCAGTGCCAACAGTGACTGCCCAGACAGGTACAAGAGGAGTGTTGTCAACGCTTACGTTGACCGTGCTCTCAGCTACAGCTCAGGATAGAAGCAAGTCGATGAAGAACTCTGCAGGGTAAGGCAGGTCCTAGTCAACAACGGCTTTTCCAATGGTTTCGTTGAAGACATCATAAGAAGGAAGGTGAAACGCCATGCAACCTCTGAAGAGACAACTAACACAACACCTGTACCCCCTATTAGACTATTTTACAGGAACGTCTTTTCCACAGCTCATAAAACAGAGGAAAGGGTCCTGAAAGATATTATTAATAGGAACGTTATCCCTACAGACAAAAATCAGAATATACAATTGACGATATACTATAAAACCAAAAAAACGGCCAACCTACTCATGAGAAACTCTCCAGACACAAAACAGAACGCTTTAAAAGAGACCAACGTCGTCTATGCCTTCAAATGCCCACTTGGGGACTGTAAGCCCCAAAGAACTCAGTATATAGGCAAGACAACATCTCTTTCCAGGCGATTAACGATGCATAAGCAACAGGGCTCCATTAAGGAACATATAATCTCTTCCCACAACCAGACCATCACCAGAGAAGTCTTAACAAACAACACAGAAATCATTGATAGATACAACGATAGCAGGCGGCTTGACATCTGCGAGGCACTACACATCAAGAAGTCAACACCACCAATCAACAGCCAATTAATGCACAACTATATTCTACCCACTTCAAGACTCCGCTCCAATACAGAAGCATCAAGAGGAAGTATGGGCCAATAGGCCCTTTGCAGTTACTTCCATTCTTCCCTTTCACTTATCCAATTAATACCCAATGTTCCGTGTTCTGTCTTGTGTTGGTCAAAAGTTTGTTCACCTCATCCAAAACTGTTGCAACATATCACCTCACCCAAATCCGAGTATATAAGACAAGCTGTTTAAGTATTAGTATAAGTAAAAACTCTGTTTAGTGTTTTCAGGTTACAGTTGTGTGTGTGTTTACTAAAGTCTTTGAAAATGTTATACGTTATTACGAAACGTGTTCAAGTGTCGCGTCAGACTAGAAATAAAAATGAATTTTGGAGAATTGATTTTTCAATTACCATCGACAGTAAAAAGAAACATAAGAAATATTGAGAAAATTCGTGTTAGAATTATTAATCTTATTTTTTCGGTCATATTTAACAACATTATATATATATATATATATATATATATATATATATATATATATATATATATATATATATATATATATATATATATATATATATATATATAAATAGCATATCATAGTATTAAATGTACTTAAAGCCCAAAGTTCGTTTAGCTAAGGAACAACCGTGAAGTGTATCACAAATGTTGAGGAAATGTATTAGTATATAATTGATAACTATGCACTACTGTAAAGTGTAGTCAAGGAGGACAAAGTGAAGTTGATTAAACAACATATTCCCGCTGTGAGGCCTCGTGTGTCTCTTGTTAGTGACATACAACACCAGTTGATTGACGGTTGAGAGGCGGGACCAAAGAGCCAGAGCTCAACCCCCGCAAGCACAACTAGATGAGTATAACTATGTGAGTACAGCGTCAGTGACCTGTGAACACAGCACCGGGGACCATAAGAGTGGGATCCCTTGATTGTTTCAAGCGTAGGTCAGACATGTGTATGAATGAATCTGGGTGGATATATATAAGAGCGGCCTCGTATGGGTCAATAGGCCTTATGCAGTTTACTTGATTATATTCTCAAAGAGGAATAAATATTCCAGTTGTTGTTGTTGTTTCAGATTTAGCTACTCAGAACGAAATGTCCATATAGCACCGGCTATGGTGAGCCCGTAATGCAAAAATATTCCAGTCTTCCTGTTTCTGTTTGAAGAGTCTTCTACTCCTCACAAGCATTCCCTACGCCTGACAAGGTGACGTGAGGTGAGGTAGTTTACCAACATAGATGCAACTCTGCTGACAGCTCCTGCACCGTCAGCGTCAACAAAGAGGCAGAGCTGACATTTCACTTACAGGAAGGAAGCATACAATAACACCACTGACTTCTCCACAACATCCTGATGCATCACCACTCCGCTCAAAACACCACCACTACAATACCCACATTTAAACTGTATTCCTTTCTTGAGCGGCACCCGGGACCGCCTCCACAAATCCACAAGGGCCGTGGCGAGGATTCGAACCTGTGTCCGAGAGCATCCCAGACCGCCTCCTGGCCTCAGGCAAGCTGTACCCCGCTAGCTGCCTGACCTGGTACTTCCCCGCCCTCACCACCGGACACCCCGTCACCACAGTATCAAGACCAACGTTGGCGAAACGTTGGCAGGAAGTTGACTCGACGTTGGAAAGACGTTCGCTCGATGTTGGCAAGACGTTTGCTCGATGTCGGTGTTCCCCCTGGGTATGGTGCCCAGAGGGTAAACACAAGAGATATATGACCCTAATGGATGGACCGTTAGGGCCCTTGCCTGTGTACATGTCCTGTGATGCCCTGATGCCCGCCCTGACCAGCTGCCCTTCCTCCACCCTGCCGCTCTCACCTCGCAGTTATGCAACTCGGACAATAACCGGAGGAAAATTAACAATTATAATAAATGTGTTCAATTCCACGAGTATTCCGGAAATCCTGATCCCCTTGGATCATGGGATCCCAGGATATTATTTCTGGGGGTGGTTCTTCTCCGGCCCCGACCACGGCGGTGTCCGGGTTTGGAGTCCCTGTGCCTTCTTTTACCAACTTCGAAGTGAACTCCGGAGCTGGAGCCCCCGTGGGGCAGTTCGTTGTTACCTTCAACTTCGTTCTAACAGTTCCTGCGACGGCGCTGAAACCAATCGTATTGGCGTTTGTCTTTCTATTGACTTTCGGCGCCGTGGAGACGGCGTGGAGACGGGGGTCCTGTTGCATGGGTAACAGCTTCTACTCCATATCAACCTACCCTGGCTTTGCGCCCTGGAGAGGCCACTCCAGACCGACAACCAGAGCCCAACTCCATAGTCTCCTGAGACTGATGGATGCCTACTAGTACTGATCCTCAAGATATACAGAGAGAGAGAGAGAATGTAAAAGCCAATAAAGACCAAACATAACTCCCTGTAACAGCCTGTAACTGTTACAGGCTGTAACTCTCAAAATAAATAAAAAAAATATTTTGCCAAAAATATAATGACCGTAGGATTACAGATATTATGTACTACTAATAAGCTGTATCTCATGAAATCTCTGCACTTGCTGTAGCCTGGTGGAGGCTGCGAGCAGTGAGGAACTGTGAGTGTGTCAGCAAGGCGGACAGCACGCAAGCATCAGGTAAGGGTGAAGGGCTGAATGCTACAGCGTAACTCATGCTATTATTCCCATTTCCAAACATATTCCTGTACCTGTAGCTCTCCATCTCCACCCCTCGCAAAAAAAAGCTGGTCGAGGTTCGAGCAGTGATTGTATTATCAGAATGATAGCGGTTATCAGGACTAAGTTTAGAAGTGACCTTTGATGCTCTTTCTTCTCTCTCTCTTGGTGTTGGGTGTTTGCTGCACGGTGTATACTGATATGCATATATACTCCACTAGCCTCGTTGTATACTGGAAGAGGTACACATGTATACTCCGCTGCTTGGTGTATACATTGAGAGGTGTACCCAGCTTCCGTGTATATATAGTGAGTTTACTTAGTGGTTGATCAATATGTTATTGTGGAGGCCCTATAACCATAGGTAGATAGCGCAATACTAACGTAAATCCCATTCCTTCTTAAGAAGTCAATAATAATTACTCCATAAACTGTTTACACTATTAATAAAGTTATCAATACTCACCCCTTAAGTAAGAAGCCTAATTTATGAACATACTATCCAATCTTCCATTGAACAAATTGGAATTAA